GGCTAGATTATTTTAGTCATGTATTGATTATACATTGAATTATCATGGTAATATTGTTTGGAGGGAAAAAAATGTCAAATTGCTCAAAACATGGATTTGTTTTATTGTCAGACCAAAAATAGTCTTCCATAAAGAAGAATGTAATGGACCAAATTTTACAGAATTCTTCACATTTAATATGCAAGTTCTGTCCATATGCAATTTAAGAAACCCTTCAAAGATTTATAAATACTTTAAAACTCGTTCCATACAACAATAAAAATGTGGAGGATTAGGAAAAAGAGGTATAATTCAAGTCACATTCAGTAAAAACTGATTTTTCATTGCAAATTAGATACAAATTAGATACAGTATCATCAAATGATTCTCTACTAATTTTCAGTGCTTTGTAAAATTGTAATATTAACTGCAGCCAAGTTGCCAATAGAGGTTAGTTATGTGTATGGCAGATCCTCATACCATATATACTCACTTGTAAATCAGATCAACTGTGTACTGCACAGACCCAGATCTGCCATCACATAATGCACTGGCAGATCTTATTCTCTACAGTTTGTTAGGAGTAATTAGCAAAACTTATGACATAGACCCTAATGTGCAGACACATGATATGGCAGATCAAAATCTTTGTTGTTTGCAATTTGACTCTACTTGTAAGTGAGTATATATGGCAAATACTTCTTCACTATCATAATTTTTACAGTCATATTTCAAGTCTTTGTTTATTTGATAAATTTTAAATTAAAGTTTAATCCAATGATATCAATTGATTTGAACAAATTTAATGATTCGCTTATCTTACCCAGGTATAAGAGATGAAGCATATATCAAAGGGTTTAATGGTGAGGGACACTACCTATTTTAATGTGCAAAGATAGTTGAAAATATGTTTACAACACAGTCTGCCATAATGGCTACTACAAAAACAAAACCTGGCATGTCCAGCCAGGGTCTAAGGTTTCATTTTTCTTAATTTTGTGGTCTTCAATAGATTGTTGATATGATCAAAGCATGTTTTGTCAATTTTACTATAATAATTTTACTATAATAATTTTGCTTGTTGATATGAACAAAGCATGTTTGGTCAATTTTACTATAATGATTTTGCTTGTTGATATGATCAAAGCATGTTTTGTCAATTTTACTATAATAATTTTGCTTGTTGATATGGTCAAAGCAAGTTTTGTCAATTTTACTATAATAATTTTACTATAATAATTTTGCTTGTTGATATGATCAAAGCAAGTTTTGTCAATTTTACTATAATAATTTTACTATAATAATTTTGCTTGTTGATATGAACAAAGCATGTTTTGTCAATTTTACTATAATAATTTTGCTTGTTGATATGATCAAAGCATGTTTTGTCAATTTTACTATAATAATTTTACTATAATTTTGCTTGTTGATATGATCAAAGCAAGTTTTGTCCATTTTACTATAATAATTTTGCTTGTTGATATGAACAAAGCATGTTTTGTCAATTTTACTATAATAATTTTACTATAATAATTTTGCCAGACATTAACATTATTGGCCAAGGGAAGTAAATTAGTCACCTTTACCCTGTAGCAACAGACACACCCAGTGGGAAACAAAAACAGACAGAATATGCTTAATCCCTTTTGAATCATTTTTATTAGTCTGTACAAATCTTTTGTAAATTTTGGAGAATAATGTATTCTTAACAATTCATGAATTAAAAAAAGTGGAACTAGATTATTGCAGTTATTAAAGTTTAGAGAAGAAAATGCACTAATTTTGTCCTTAAATTTGTCAAAAAACATAGCATTTGTAAAAGAAAATAATATGTTTGTCCAAATATGTTTCATTTTCCAACCAGGTACATCAATCAGGATGATTCTGTCACAAAATGAGGTTGTATAGTCATTGTTAGTTAAATTTAGTATCATGCTTCTGTAACTTAGCAATTGATCTATGATGGTTTCAACAAATTTTCCATTTTCATCCATATTCTAAAATGTTTATATAAATGTTTGATGTCTGGTTCTTTCTACGGTGGGTCTGTGTTTGTTTGTGAGGATGAATGTGATTGCAGAACATAATAAGCTTTATAAAGCAGCCATTATATTTAAAAGATGAAGAGTTCTGGAAATAATACTGACCCAAAGGAAGCAGCTAGCAAACTTTCTCACATACCCACACTGGTCAAATCAAGACTCTAGCTGACATCGGTAGAGGTAAAAATGTGTGAGTGATTTATAAGGTGAGTGTCACAAATATTCTAGGAAACATCTTCCTTTAATAATTGATAAACTATTTAACTTGGGACTTTATCAAAATGGATTGTTGAGTTCTAAAAGAAAGTGAGTATTGACGTCTGTAAAGGAGAAATGGGTTGAAAGATTTACTTCCTTTTTATAGGCCATTCAAAGTACACAGGCTTCTTTCATATAAACATTTGCTAGACATGCCCATATAGTGGAAGAAAAGCAAGTGTTCCTGATTTTTTGCAGCCACATTTAATGACATTGAGTATATTTCAGAAACAAAGAAATCTTGAATATTGTATATGTACTTGTAGCCTATGTAGCCTATCCTGAATTACCTCCCTTTATTAAACTCTTGCAATACTTGAAAATCTTTTAGCTAAAAATGTATGCTGCACATGTACATTGAAGCCAAAATATTTCTTTTGGATATATCAAGAAGTTTGTGAGGGAAAGTTGTATTCTTTTGTGGAAAATGTTATTAATTTATCATTACAACCATTTTATCATTACAACTGTTTTATCATTACAACCGTTTATCATTATATCTGCTTCATCATTACAACCGTTTTATCATTACAACCATATCCCAGATTGGAATTCTTCAATATTTTCAAATTGTTAATTGAAATACTTGTGCGAGAGGCAACAAGCATAACATTGTTCACTACGAATAACTCTTATGAAAGTAAAATTTCATTTTATGCTACATTCTACTTACTTTATGAGCTACAGAACCTATTTCAACAGATGAAAGTTGCTAATTGGCTGATTTATGCAAAAGAAGTATATATACTGTATAGGTAATTTAGAAGGCTTAAACCTTTAACTCTTTTAAATTTGTTATTCCCATCACACATGAGCTGCTGGATGTAAAACAGGGAGAGCTCATCAGACTGCAGTGGACACCAGAAAGGGAATTATTCTCAGAAATGAGGCATGCAGCAAATAACCTTCATTGTTTTAAAGGAGACACTTGAAAGCTCATTTATCGGATATTTTGCCAGTATTACTAAAAAGTACAATATAAACCTGATTATATGTTAACTACAACTGCATTGACTATTTGCCATTGCATAATGCACTAAGCTGATCTTGATCTCTTTAATTTGGTAAGAGTAACCAGTTCAACAAACAACATATACCCTGGTTTGCGCTGGCAGATCAGATTTTTTGTTATGTGCAGTTTAACATTGACTATAGATAGTATGGTAATTTGGCTAAATATTAGCGTCATGGTCTGTGTGAACTAAAATTTTTTATCTGTGCCCATTAGCACTGTTCATTTTTATTCATTGTACAAGGTCTTCTTCCAAGTTCAAACCTTCAAGGGGATTTTTTTTTGTTGTAATCTTTTAGACCAGAACTTACAATGTTCCAAAAAAATGGAAACAAGGAATTGTGCAGAATCCAAAGAACTCCATTTAGCATATCATTATATTTAAATCCATGTCCTGTATTAATAGGTAGGGACAATATTGCAAACTACCCCCAGCTTTGTTGGAGTGGGTTGTATGATTTCAGTTATCATTATCTAGATGGTGAATGCTGATGTAATTTGCCTAGAACAAGCAAGTATCAGTATAGAGTGTGAAACTTAATGGTGGAATAAAGATCTAAGCATATATATAGAACAGAATGATATGCCCCACCCCGTACATGTATAAATTATAAAATTATAAAAATAAAATTCATAAATAATTGTGATAGTACATTACACTTAAAAGATAGACATCTTCATTTTAATTAAATTATTCATTGAAAATTCAAAGACAAATATGCTATATAAATAGCCAATTTGTTAAGTGATAGAATTAATTCATTATCAAATCGAGTGAAAGACCACTGCCTTGTACAGATTCTTAACCTGATTGTTCTGGTTCAGTCCAAATTCACTGCAACTGTTCTTTTGGCTTCCTTGTTCCTGTAAGTGTGGGTCCTTTCCACTTTTCTCAAATTCTCAGGTGTTTTGCCTCATTCAGTCCTTCCAACTTTGTGTGGTCACTTTGGTTTTGGAAATATGTGATATATCATGTGGATGCTGCTCATGGAGCTATCTCACCATGTCTCTTCAAGCTTTTACCATCAGAATTGTGTTTTCCAGGCATCAAATCCCTTTGACCCTAATTATGAGTAAATTTCTTCTTAATTTGACCCAGAGTCTTCTACCATTTGTTTTCTCTTGCAGAAAAATGGTGTAGATTGATTATACTTTCATGATAAGCACATTTAAACTGAGAGTTTTCTGTGGAATCGCGATGCCTTTATTCACCATAACCAGTCCGAATGAAATATATTCCCTGCCAGAACTAGGCTGAAAACAATGCTGTTCATCCAACCTCAGATTACCCGAAATTGATTCCAGGTAACTTTCAGTTCTCCATACAGATCAGAAATTGACCACTATCCTTTGGAGCTAAGTAAATGAAGATTTATTAAAGAACCAATGCTTCCATGAATGACATTTGTTAAATTAGTATGTTACAGCAATTGAAACAAGTGCTAGTCCCCATAAATCTAATTAATTGTTCACCTGTCCAATTTGATGCATTCCTCTTAGATTAACAGAAATTTCCCCCTTTCATAACCGCCTCCTTAGGGATTTTTACTCTACAAATTATTGGAGATCTAACAGATACACTTATATGTCCTCAGGTGAACCCTCCACCATAGAGGTCCCTAGTCTAATTAAGCAGTTAGCCTCTACATTCTCCTTGCCTTTAATATATATTGTATCTGGACTTAGTCATTATTTCTACAATAGTAACCGCTCCAGTGGCCTAGTGGTTAGAACCTCTGCCTCAGATCCAGGTGGTCGTGGATTCGATCCCCGGCTGAGTCATACCAATGACTTACAAAAATGGTGCTAACAGATGCCATGCTTGATGCTCAGCATTAAGAGGTTAATGTTAGGACTAGTCAGCCTGGTATCAGGATAATGTGACTGGGTGGGACATCATGCTTCATGTCTTCGGCATGATGCCCCAGTGCTAGACATCACTATAAACTGCCACACTGCAGACATCATAGTGATATGACTGAAAAATTGTTAAAAGCTACGTTAACAAATTATAAACACCACACTAACACCTCTACAACAGTACTATCTCATTACATGTCATTGTCCATTGGTCAATTTAGCTTGAGCTAAATATGCTAGTGGTTGGTGGTCAGTTTCTCAAATAAATTTTTGTCCATACAAGACAATTACCAAGCATTCTTTCTCAGGGACTGAATGATTGTGTTTTGTGGTTAACAATTTCCTGCTACTGTAGGCAACTGGGAATGAATTTTAGTCATGCTCTTGTAATAGTACTGCCCCTGAACCTCTATCAAAAGCATCAGTACGTAAAACAAAATATTGTGTCACATCAGGCAGTCTCTCCTTCAAAGTCTGAAATCCTCGTTCACATGCGTCTGTTCATGTAACTTTCATCGGAGACTTTTACCAACAAAAGTCAGTCAATTGGCTTGCAATTAGTAACATAAGTTAGTAACATAATGACAATAATACCCTGCTGGTCCCAAGATAAATTGAACTTGCATTTTAGTGGTCAGTTGTGCTGTGTTTCTGAATTGGTTGACCTTTGAACTATCAGGTGTTAGCATGTCTTCGCTGAGGGTGTGATCTAGGTAGGTTAGTTTTCTAAACCCTATATGGCACATAGATGGTCATGCAGTCATTCCCATTTGTCAAAGTCACTCTAAAACATTTTTCAGTAAGATGATATGATCGTCCGAAGTCGCTGTCACTAAAAGTAAATTATTCATGAATTTTGAGACTCCAGTCCCCCTTAACGGTTCCAGTCATTTTTGCATCATACAGATGAAGACACCTTGCACAGCCTACACCCCAAATGGCATGACCTCTCACTGGTAAGTCCTATCTGAAGTTGCAAAGGCAAGTGTTGCTCTGCTTCTTTCCAAACCAGAGTTTGCCAGTACCCCTTAGACAGATCAATCCTTGAAAAGTATTTTGCTTTGGTTGTCCTGGCAAATATATACTCAGGATGAAGTAACAGTTCTACATGGAATTCCATGATTCTGTTTGTTCCGTCTTTCTTCTGCATCAACAAACAGGAGAGCTATATGCTGACTTAGCTGGTTCTATAACTCCCAATTCTATCATAGCTTGAATTTCATTTCAGACAGTTTCTAATTTCGCATGGGGTAACAGGTATGATTTCTCATCCAGTAGCCTTAGTGTAAACTCCTCTAACTCCATCTTGGTAGGTCGTTCGGTCAAGATGCTTGCATAGTCTTGGAGTAATGACTCCACTTCCTTACATTGCTCAGACATTAACGTTCAAGGACAACATCAAAATAAGTTTCTAATATCATCAAAGAACAACTAGGGAGTACTTCCGCCTTTCCTCCATTGTCATCGGGTTCATCAGTTACAACCGTAGCAACCACAAACTCTGTAGGTGTCTTTCTTTCACAGTAACATTTCAGGAGATTTATGTGGTACAGCTTTTCCTTGTCTCCTACCCAGATATGGTAGTTCTGTCCACCCTTTTTCTCCATTACCACAAATGGTCCCTTCCATGAGATTTGAAGTTTGTTGTGCTCTAGCAGCAGGAACAACAACACCTCAAAGTGACATCCCTTCATCCTTTATTTGTAATATTTGGCTTGCTGTCCCCTTGTGTCATGGAGATTCCCCTAAGCCAATTTAGCTTCTTCTAGCTTGTAGATCAATAACATATTAGTAGGTTGTTCACACTTCCTCAGATACTTGCTCATCCATCCATATCTGTTGTAATATAGCCATGGGTCCCCTAACTGTCCTCCCATAGACTAACTCAAGAGGTGAAAAACCCAAACTAGACTATGACACTAATCAATACTCTAAAGTTATCACCAGAAGGTATCAGTCCCAATCCCTGAGTCAACCTTCACAGAGCTTCTTCAGAGTCTGTTTCAATGTTTCATTGAAATGCTTCACCAAATGATTATACATCAGGTGATATGGGGTAGTTGTCGGGTGTCTAATGGATAGTAACCTATTTCCATCTTCCATCACCTGGCTCACAAACTGTGTCCTCTGGTCAGCCAGTATCTCATCAGGAACACCAACCTTTGACAAAACTCCTAACAAGGCCTCAGCCACTGTGACTGAGTCAATGGTTTTCAAGGCCATGTCCTCCGGGTATCAGGTGGCATAATCTATCATTAGTATATAACGATACTGCTTTCTGCTTTCAGCCACTGCTTTCTGCTTTCAGCCAAGGCTTTATTACTGCTTTCAGCCAAGGCTTTATCAGACCAACCAATCAATCATCTTCAAGAAAGGTTGGGGCATTTTCTAGTGGCACAGGGCATGGGAGGTTTTAGGTGAGACTGCTGACACTTGTCACAAGACAAACAGAACCTCTGAACATCCCCATATACACCTGACCAGTAGAACTCTCTCACTAACATGTCTCTGGTCTTTGCCATGCACATGTGGCTTCCAAGTAGACCATGTGCCAGCCTAAGCACTTCTGCTTGCTTTGCTATAGGCACAACAACTTGTTCAAACATAGCAGTCCCTTTCTCTGTATACTGATACAACATGTTTCATTGCTAAATTTACCTCACCATCTGGCAATTTCCTTATGGACTTATCTTTTGTGTAAATTCGTACCTTGTTGAGAGACAAATCTTCCTCTTGAAGTTTCCTCTACTCACCAGGTAGCAAATTGTCTATGGGCAAAGTCATGGGTCTTAGTGGCTTTGACCTTGACCATCACTTCATAGCCCTCATCTCAAGGAATCCTACATGTACATGTCATAGGATTAGGTTGCAACAATGAATACCTACACCCTAATATGTTATGATATAGTCCAGACAAAATCACTGCTTCAATTCACCCCTTTTTCTTTAGCAAATCAAGGTCTGTATTAAGAACTGGGAACATACTTTTGTTTGGTTAGCAAACTGGACTTCAGCCATCTCACCTGTGTATTTTCCAGGCTTGACTTATCTACTATCTCCCAAGGCAGATAACTAAAGCCAGTATGTTTGCATTCTCTAGCTTTTTCTTTGGCCTGCAACCTGGCTAGTTTGAGCTCTCATACACCTTTCTCTCGCTTGAGCTGAGTTGCTTGTACTTGCCTGTCTTTCTCATGTTCATCTGTTTGTCTGTTTTTCTCACATTCAACAGCTTGTCTGTCTGTCTTATGTTTGAACTTGGCAGCTTGTGCTTGTCTGTCTTTTTCTCATTCCTCAAGCTAGTAGTTGTTTATGTTTTCTAACACTTTGCTCAACAAATTCTGTTAACTGGGCCCATGCATACCCAAGTTTATCAGTACCGATTGTACAGTAACACAAAAATTAAGTTCTTTACCTACACTCAAGTTTTACTGCCCTACTAGGAGATAGCATAACAATCCAACACTAAAAAAAGCATAATTTACTGCTACGGAGTTGGCCTAAATATCTCTTATTTCAACCCCTATGAAATGATCATGAATAATTCATGAACTGGTATGAACCGTTCTTGAACGGTTCATGAACCTGTTCATGAACCATTCCTGTAAGTTCATCAAAAGGTTCATGAACCATTCATGAATGTGCATGAACTGAAAATGGTCAGTTCATGAAATTAATGAATTCATGAATGTAAATTAAAAAATTTATGAATTCATGAATGTTCATGAACCATAACGTTACAAACTGTTCTTGAATGTTCATGAACTATTCTTGAACTGAATTCATAAACAGTTCATAAAAGTTCACTAACTGGTTCATCATCATTCATCACAGTTGATGAACATATTCATGAACTGTGATGAACAATGTTCCCCATTTTTCATGACTTCATGAACAGTTCCTAAAAAAAAAAAAAAAAAAATTTGATTATCAGACAAACTCACAAATACCTATTTCATCCTGAATCATAAAATAACCTTAGATGGGGGTGGGTGTTAAAGCAGTATAAAATGCAACATATTTTAAAAAACTTTAATTTCAGATAAATTTCTAATATGCAACATTGAACATGAAAACTTACATTAAGCGATATTTCTTTTTTATTCTTATCAACACTTTCTGTATGTTTTGTAATTTTTCTTTGAAAATTGTTCAAGAGATAATGGGACAGTTGTGTTCAATCAACTACTGAAGCATATTTATCTGTCATTGTCATGGAGCTAATTCCACTGGGGTTTCTCCTAAAGAAATGGATCCCTACCCCCAAACTGACATGTCAGATAACTTTTTTGTGAAGACAGTTAGGGCCTAATTTTAATTGAATTAAATTCCACCTATTGTCGCTACTGAATGTCTCCATCTGCAACTTAAGCTGTTCATTTGATTACTGTATGGATCTTTAACATTGCTGCAGCAGTCACTTTTAAATGTCTATTCCATCTCTTGGCTGTAAGATCCTCAAGTTGTCAAATTTTTCTCTTTATCCTATAAACTTCAATAATTTTACTTTTCTGCTGTCTGATCTGAGAGAAATCTTTTCACTAGTTGTATTTTAACTTAAGCTGACTAGCCATACGTATTATAAGTCAAAGTAGTCAAATGTTTTAATAAAAATTCATCTACTCTGACCTGGATGTTGCATATAGCTGCTTCGGTTTGGGTTAGTAGCACATGTATTATGTACAGTTTCACACATTAACTAGTTTTTTGGGGGGCCCAGAGTGGCCAAGTGATCTAAAGTGATGTCCGTTATGGATCACTGCCATCTCACCTCTGTGTTAGTTCAAGTCTAGAATTTGGTGAATGTGGATATGTGGGAAAGCTTGCCAATAGCTTCTCGTGGGTCAGTGGTTCTTTCCGGTGATTTCTCAGTTTCTTCCTCCACCATTAATACTGGCCGCCTTGAATAGCCTATCGTTTGCTGA